TTTTTCTCTCAGTTTGTAGGAGAATATTTCTCGATCATATCAATTTGTGTTGGCCATCTTGTAATTGTACAAATACAATTAAATTATGCCCATTTAACAACCTCACAATTCATCCTTTTGCTGTACAACAAACAAACATTTTGGTTTTAACAAAGTGATCCCCACACCATATAAGATTCTTAAAAACTATTTTGGTTTATATTTATTACAAACTTTGAAAGGAAAAAAAAACACTTTCAATAGTACTCATCAAACCTCAAATTGCTCTAACTGAACATCCTTAAATTGGAGAGGAATAAACTCCTCAAGATACCCACCAAGATGATCTGCTAACGAGGACTTATCGATATTTTCATGGTGATACGACTTGCAAACGAAGTAAACCATCGTCTCCATAATGAGTTGAAAGAGTATAGAAATCGATAGCAAAATAAGGCAAATAATCCCATACACAATCCTTTTTCCAATCCCATCTCCATGTCCGAGAACCACGAAAATTTTGAACATATGTTGAATCCCAAAGAAAGACAAACCCAACACAAAGAAAACCGCAGTGGAAATTCCCACCTTGCCCTTGATCAAACCCCGGCTTTTCATCATTGCGTTTAGCCCATAACTATCTTCCAACACGGAAACCACACTTGCCAAATGCCATATCATCGTAATATAGAGAAGCCCCATGAAGTATACAATAAATAATATGATTAGAAAAGTCATACACCCAATCCCTATATCCCCGTTGTCTAATAGTACTAAGATTACTATTACAAGAAATATAAAATTGTACGCAAAAACAAAGACGAAATGCCAAGTGAAAGTAATCATAAGCCTCTTCCAAACCTTTGGGACCAAGGATAAGACTTTGTTTAAGGTTGTCTCTTTTGCGGTGTAAACACACGCGATCGTGTGAACGACTGCAGATGTTGTGAGAAGGGATACAATTGCAAAGACTACCAAGTACCCGATCTTGAAGCGGAAGAAGGTCACCCATTCGGAGTTTGAGCTTAACATGTTGTCGATTTCATTAAAGGATCTTGAGCCCTTTAAAACATTGAGGAGCATAAATTCATTGTGAATGATTGATGTGAAGAGTGTTTTGGTGATTTGGATGTGGGCTAGGTATATGAAGGAGAGAGGGAAGATCAAGAATATTGTAATTTGAGTGAAGATTTTTCTCCATGATGAAATTATAGTGCATGATTCTTTTAGTATGCCAAAAAAACCTAGGAATTGGATTTCATCTTGTTCTTTATCCATATAGCCCTGTTTTTTTTTCTTTGGTATGCTATGAAATATTTGGAAGGATTAAACGGGTGTGTTTATAGAGGTTGAAGGGGGATTGGATAATATGTGTATAAATATATAACTTGAAAGTTTTGAGGGTAGACTTTCACTATTTCGAATTTGAGTTTGACTTTTTGGTGTTTAAGGAAATTGTCAATTTTCCGAACTTTAATTTATGTCAAGTGGGACCATAATTGGAAAAAACCAACAAAAAAAATGTGATACAAGTAGGAGTGGAAATCAGATGGAATGGATCATAAATGATTTTTTCGAAAAATTCTCAATTTTTTTCTGAAGTAAAGGTTCCAATTTGCGTTCCAAAACGTTCTGTACGCAAAAAATTCATTCCGATTTCGAAACGCATTGGAATCAGCGGAATTTCAAAAATATCATTAGTTTATAATCTCCTTTTCAAAATCCGGATATAGTGCGAATTTTCATAATATTTGTCAATCTTTTTCTACATTTTGCAGGAAAATGCAAGAAAAAAAAGAGAGGCTAAAACGCAATAAATAAAACCATATGTAGAACAACAAATTGAAACAGAGATTTTCTATTAAAGAAGAATGCAACAAATATTTTCTGACACCAATCAATATTTTCTAACTTTTTAATTGACTTGAACCTTCGGTATTTATATTTTTTATATAAAGTATAACGTAAGTTGTATTATAGAATCACAAAATAATATTCTATATATTAAAAAAACAATCAAAACATTGGGACTAAAATCGGATCCGTAATAAGATTTTTAATACTTTATATACAATTATGATTATGTTCCAAATAAATTCGGAAAAAATGAAACTCGAAACTTCAAAATCGAAATGAAAAATAACTTTCGAAATTCAGATATTTTAGAATAGGAATCGACGGAATTTGTTCCGATTTCCACCTCTACGTACAAGGACACACACACATGAGATATAATTTTATAATATATATATGTGGGGTGTGTGTGTGTGTGGGGCACGGGGGGGGGGGGGGGGGGTGGCGGGGCTGCTAAAACCCACTTAAAAGAGAGAAAAAAGAACACAAACCAAAGGACGAATATTTTTGCCTAGCACGGTACTCTCTTGATTTATTTGCATTGCCAATATTATAATTATTAAATTAAGTTTTATAAATTTAATTTTAAACTTTAGAACTAATATTTACAAATATTACATCATTGTTAACTGCAGCAACAAACTCTCATTAGAAAAAAATGTATATGACCTTTTTTTTTTTGTTTTTCTGGGTCAATGTAATTATATAGTAATCAATCAACTCAATGTAATTAGGCAATAAAAAATAGAAGTATATGTTACATCTAATTAGAAAGTTCTTGAATAGTTCCTTAAAGGCCTCTTTCACCCGTTGTGGCCAAAGTCAATTTTGATTAGATAAATACTTGCACCAATTCTACACGCGTGTTTGCTAATCAAACGAGAAATGGTTACAGCAACTCCAATGAAATATCAAAATGAAATACTCATTTGATATTTGAGATAATATTTTGATACTTTTGAAAAATTCATGTGATGAATTCAACGATAGGTATCAGAAAAGGATATTATTCATTTTTCGTTGGAATGTGTCAATATGTTGAGATTTTTGTTTTCGTTTTCCTGTTGATATTACACGAGCTAATTTTAAAGAATATTTGATTTCTCCTTTTCTTTTCTTTTTTATTTTTTTATTTTTTTTGGGTGCATTTTTGCACCTATATGAGATCATGAAGTATGAAGAAAAATATCCAATTGATGCATCTATTGGAGAAGGATTTTGGAGCTTTGGGGCATCAAAATGATAGTTTTATCATTTCTTACTCTATTTGATTCTTCCTTTGAAGTTGCTCTTTGTTGGCCGAAAACCTACACGCAAGTGCACGTATCGTACAAGTAATATAGTGGACTAAAAGTCCGGATATCGAATCCACAGGGAATATTTAATTATCTAATCCTAGACGCTAAATTCTACCAATTATTATCAAGCCCACCATACACAGTCAAATTTAAGAGAGAATTAACTAAATTAAGCTAAATTAAAAGCAAGTAAAAACAAGAAAGCAATTTAAACACGAAGATTTATCAGAGTAAACAAGCCTAGGATTTTATTCTTCACCCTATGTGATTATTATTCCCCCAATTCCTTCAATTATGCAAGCAAATAACCCGGATTATTAACCTGAGATGCTAATTTCATCGTAACCCGTTTCCGCGTGTATTACGATTCTAATACTCTAGATTCAATTACTATATTCCTATGCAATTAATTCTAGAACACAACATTAAGCACAAATCTCAATAATGGCTACCTAAGAGATTAACTATATTCCTATGTTAATACCACAAAGGATCTTCTACCACAGTTCTAATTATTAACCCGATCTTCCGATTCATGCGATTAACAATAACATAAAAGCACATAAGGTGATCAAATTCATGCACTTAATAAAACAAGTAGAAGAAATAATCCGGAATTAAAACTTGCATAAAAATCATAGAATTGGGTTCATAAATCCCACATAGGGTTCCAAATAAAATCCTAGAAATAAAGTCTTAGCTACTCGTAGTTCTTATGATAAATAAAATAACATAAATAAATTAAATAAGAAAAACTATGCTTGAATCTTCGTTGATCTTCTTTGCTCTTGAATTTGCGTCCCAAAGATTGATCCCCAATTGTGTGCTTGGCTTGGTCTTATATATGGTGAAGAACTTGTGGAAGAAGGCAGTTTCCTTGTACAATTAAAATCCCTTCACTGCGCAACTTCGGATTCTCGGACGGGGGTCCCACGATTTGCACTAAAACTGGGACGGGGGTCTCAGCATTAGATCTTCTGAAATTTGATTTTTTCACTTTTGGCCCATATTTTCTCCAAAATTGCAGTTTTGACCCCATACTTTTCCAATTCTTCAATTTGTACCTAAAATACAATAAATCAACTTTTTAAGCACCAATTATCGTTAAAACACACCAAAAGCTCAAATAAAAAGATACGATAAAGTGTAAAAATATACACTTAACACACCCCCAAACTTGAACTTTTGCTTGTCCTCAAGTAAAATCTACCAATAAGCAAATAACTCAACTATAACATCTCATCACATAGATCAATGATCAACTTCACGTTTTCAGAACTTGTAATTATAATGACAATTCTTAGGCATTCGTAAGCTCAAAATTCACACTTAGTCACTCACCATTACCAAAAACCACAATTCATACAATTGCTTCAAGCATCCAATATTTGCAAATTAAAGATAGAAAGAATTTATACTTACATGCATATGCTTGACTCCAAATACTCACCAAATTATTCTACTCTACTAATATCGAACATTAAGCTATTGGGATCATTGGGGCTTTGTGGCTTTCAATTGTTAGGCTCTTTGGTTCGAGGTAGGAAATATGGGTATATGTGGCTATTCTTCTTGAATTTAGGTGATTACGCCAAAATTTGAAAGATAGGCGTTTGAAACAATGAATTCACCTCTACGGACTTTAGTAAACTCGATTCTCAAAAGTTCAAAAGTCTCCACTTTTGCTTTTGAGGCAATGGATCGAGTTTTCAAAAATAATTCAACAACTAGTCCTTATTTCTCCCTTCTAGTCTCTTCTTCTTCTTCTTTTTCTTTTTTTTTTTATTTTTTTTTAAATATATATATATATATATACTAGCATATATATTTATTTCTTTTTTTTTTTTCGGTTTTTTTTTTTTTTTTTTTTTTTCGAAGAAGAAGAAGGACCTTATAAAAAATTTTTGACTGAACTCCAAGGGGTAATTTTCAAGAATCTCCACCTATTCTACCTTACACATTGGCTAAAAGAAAGAACACCTTTTCTCCGAGGCTCAAATCAAGGTTCTAAGGATAATTTCGATAAAAAGGTCGGCTTGAAAGGCTCAAACGGTTCAAAGAAGGCCCAAATCATATCCCAAATCACTCACTACTCAATACTTCGTATCATAAATTTCCTAAGGTGAGTTCTAAAACCGAACATAGCATGATCTAGCACAAATTAATTCCAAATTTAAAATACAAAACATTCAACCAAAGCAATGCACAAAGTGTAATTCCTAGCAACAATTCGCTTCTAAGTTCCGTTGAATCGAAAGCTAAACAAACATCAAATCTTTATCACACAAAACAAGCAATCTCATCATCAAAAATTGATCACCTCTCATCATCATAATTCATCGATGCATTTGACTCAAGCAATTTTTTTTTTTTTTTTTTATATTCCGGAAAAACGAGAAAAACAATAAAAAACGAATAAAACCTAATGCATGCAAACTAAAACAAATAAGAACAAAATCATGCTTTTCACCCCCAAACTTAAAATTTTCGTTGCCCTCAACGAAATTAGCACAAAGTTTAAGGATAGAAAACTCCTGATTAAGTCGAATT